GTAGCAGGGGTGACGATCTGCCCAGATGGAGCCTTTGCTCTGGGTGTGGGGTTCAGCCGCTCCCTCCGCCCTCCCCGCATGCTCGGCTGGACCCAGCCCCCACCTGCCTGCCCCTCCACTCTCCTGCATCTCCACCCAACCCCCTGCAGTGACCTCAAACAGCGATCAAGCCCCAGAGCCTCCCTGGGCACCTGCTCCAGGCCCAGCTCAGCCCCTGGCAACCCTGTAGCCCCCACCTGCCTGCCCCTCCACTCTCCTGCATCTCCACCCAACCCCCTGCAGTGACCTCAAACAGCGATCAAGCCCCAGAGCCTCCCTGGGCACCTGCTCCAGGCCCAGCTCAGCCCCTGGCAACCCTGTGGCCTGGTGTTGCTCCTTGCCTCAGTTTCCCCCATTTGTTCCATGGAAATACTGCTGCTGCCACGCAGACGCCCCAGGCCCTGGCCACTGCTCAGCCAGGCAGGTGCCTGGTACCTGAGAGTCGACGCCGGGGGGGGGCGGTCAAGGTGCGTCCCAGCAGGGTTGGGGGTCGGCAATTGGCCTCCATCAGGGAACGGAGCCTGTGCCCCATGGGAGGAGGGGGAGCCCCGAGGGGTCCCCGCCCCGCGCTCTAGATCAGGCCCTGCTGCCTTAGCCCCTTTCAGGGCTCTGGGGGCTCCCCCAAAAGTCACCAGCCAGGAGCAGCCCTCGTCCATCTGGAGCCTCTTGTGCCCTCCTGCCCCCCAGGGTTGCCCCACCCCAGCCCGGGGGGCAAACGGGGCTGGAAAAGTCTTGCAGGCGGGTCCCAGCTGTTTGGGGCTGGGCCCTGGATCTGCCCCGGAGCCTGCAGGACAATGCTGGGCATAAGGGATGCCCTGAGGGGGGCCCGCCCCAGCCCCTTACCTCTCCTGTGGGGCTAGCTCAGCGCAGGGGGACGCAGCGTCCAGGTGGCAGCTTGGAGACGCCTGGCACCTGTGCAAAGTGCACGCCTGCCGGAGCCGAGGTGCCCTTTGTCCTCTCCTCTGCCCGGCCTGCCTTCGCCATATAAGGGCAGGAGCCTGGGAGGGACACGCAGGCGAGCCAAGGTCCCTTGGGCGCTTCCCCGCTGCCCTGGCACCGTTACTCCCCGTTTATGGCCAGGTGGGCGGCAGCGCTATCACGGCACAGA